TGTGTCTGTGACTCTGTGTGTGTGTCTTTGTGTGTGTCTTTGTGTGTGTCTGTGTCTCTGTGTGTGTGTCTGTGTCTCTGTGTGTGTGTCTGTGTGTGTCTATTGCGTCTTTTTGATTTTGTGTCTTTTCTTTGTGTCAATCGCAGATATCTAGAGAATGATTCTCAAACACAAAATAAAAATGTTTTATTGGGAGTATCACAGACGTTAAAAAGAGACCGTTCTGCACAAACACAGTACGTAGCACTTTACATCGTTTTGTAAAAATGTTCAAACAGCAAAGTATATATTCAATTCAATTCAATTCATTGTTTTTATTTGAGCATCTGAGTTCCACACAGTTCTACTTATATACAGAGTTCAGCACAGTAATCAAAGCCAAAAATAGGTAGGCGTAAGTAAATACGTAAATAATTAAATAGCGTGGATATGATGCTCAAAAGGAGTAGGCAGAAGCTTAAGCTTGTTTGCACCGACCCCTTGTGTACTGAAGAATTTGATACATTCAATACATTCATTTACTGCATGATCAAAAAGATATGACAGTTATTTTGTCATGTTCCAGTGACTATACAAACAGCAATATAAACATCACAATATTCAACTAATCCCAAGGCAATGAAAGAAAACTTGAACCTTTTCTTCAATAATTACAAATACCCATCACTGTCAACACAACTAGTCACCAATCTTTTAACTTGATCATTTGTTACTTGTTATGGATTTAATGCTATTAATGGTCACAATAATGATGGATTATATTAACAACCATACTTATATGATTTATTAATGATGTAAATCTATTTTAGATTTTTAACTATTATATTATCATTATTTATTCCTTTATACCATTTTAGTAATAATAATCGTTCACTTCGTTGTCACCATCTACAGCGGACTATAAGATAGTGTGAGCCCTATTCTGTGAGGTGCATTAACAAGCAGAGTGTGGACCCGCTGGGAGGGGGGAATGGCCCCCAATCAACCGGCCCAACCCTGCTGCCCTGAGTAATTGACTTTACAGTGATGTTGGTAATCTGTGCAGTAAAATGCGCCACATGACGAGATCCATGAACCCACTGGGAGGAGGGGGGGCCCTTCTCTCCAACAGGTCCATGTCTCACCTGCCATTATCCTTTGTATAGTTGAGGAGCAGTGATGGTGACAACAAGCAGCCACAATGGTGTTTTTAAGTCTTGTCCTTGTTGCTGTTAATTTAGTTATAGCCCTCTGTAAAAGTAATGGTGATAGTAAATGATCTAAGTAGATTTAACAGCGAACTGCATTTGTACTTATAGCAAAATACGTTCATATAGAGCTTTAACTTCAGAATCACATGGCTAGTACAGTACATAAGAGATATGTGAAGAAGAGAAAACAAACAACAACAAAAACAATATACAGGTTATGCATCACCCTATATACACTATATACATAAGCGGATACATATATATTATTATTATTATTATTTTTATTTATTTTTCACTTCTGCATAGCTACATGAGCTCAGTATGGCCAAGTAGATAAACAGTAATACTTCATTTTTAGTTTGTCAGTTACAGTAATACCTCATAAATAGATTACTCTGCAGTTATTTCTATTTCCACACTCAGTGATATTCCTCCGTCCTGTACTTGGACAATATGAGTTGTTTATACTTTGATTTGAATTGATATATGGAAGAGCACCGCTTGAGTTGGGCTCCCAGTTTATTCCAGAGCTTGACACCACACACAGACACACACACACAGACACACACACACAGACACACACACACAGACACACACACACAGACACACGCACACAGACACACGCACACAGACACACGCACACAGACACACACACACAGACACACACACACACAGACACACACACACAGACACACACACACAAACACACACATACTTTTCCTCGTGGAACAAATGGCAGGTACGTTAAGTTGACCACATCCCCTTAAATTGTAACAGTCATCTCTTTTTATGAATAGTTTTTGAATATTTGCTGGTAATTGAGCCTGGTTAGCTTTATATACTAACTGTACAGTGTAAAAATCTATTAAATCCATGAGTTTAAGCATGTTACTTTGTAAAAACAATACGTTTGTGTGTTCGAGGTAACCAGCTTTATGAATAGTTCTGATTGCTCGTTTTTGGAGTATTACAAGGGGATGGAGTGAACTTTTATAATTATTACCCCAGACCTCGATTCCATAAGTTAAGAATGACAGTATTAGACTGGAATACAATATATACAGTGCATTACTATTAAGGAAGTACTTAGCTTTGTTTATAATCGCAATGTTTTTTTATATCTTTCTCTGTATGTGTCCAATGTGTGATTTCCAGCTCAGTTTGTTGTCTATTATGATTCCCAAAAATTTTATTTCTGTTACTTTTTCTATTTTAGTACCATTTATACTTATCAATAATTCTGGACATTCTTTGTAATTGCCAAACATGATCATTTTTGTTTTGCTTAGGTTGAGTGATAATTTGTTTAAATCCAGCCATGTTTTAAGTTTAGCGAGTTCCTGATTCCCATCCTTTATAAGACTATTATAGTTATCGTTAGAATAAAATATGTTGGTATCATCAGCAAATAACACCATTTTTAATAATTCTGATACTTTAAATATATCATTGATATATAGATTGAAAAGTAGAGGTGCCAGTATAGACCCTTGAGGCAGTCCACAAACAATGCTCATACATTTTGATTCAAAGTCCCCGATCTTAACAAATTGTTGTCTTTCCTCTAAATAGCTTTTAATCCAGTTCCCAGCAACTCCCCGAATACCATACTTTTCTAATTTTTGAGCAAGGATGGAGTGATTGATAGTATCGAATGCTTTCTTTAGATCTATAAAGATTCCAACAGTATGTTTTTTGTTGTCTAAAGCACTGGTGATTTCTTCCACAGCGTCAATAATAGCCATAGTGGTTGATCTTTTGGGTCTAAATCCGTATTGCCCTTCATCAATTAGCTCATGCTTCGAGATACATTTTTCCAACCTGCTGTAAAACGTTTTCTCCAATATTTTTGAAAACTGCGGAAGAAGAGAGACTGGTCTGTAATTTGTGAATATGTGTTTACTCCCATTTTTGAATAAAGGTAACACTTTGGCTATTTTCATTTTGTCCGGAAAAGTACCAGTTTGAAGTGATACATTACATATGTGAGTTAAAGGTTTCAGAATATTGTCAATTATTCTTTTTATTAATCTCATATTTATGTCCAAGCAGTCCATAGAAGATTTATTTTTACATTTATTCACAATAGACTTAATTTCAGCCTCACTCACGTCAGCGAGGAAGATGGTTTGCGAGTTCCTTACAATATTTGAATCCGCCCTTTTGTTATTAATATTTGGTGGGATTTGAGCCGCTAATTCAGGTCCAACATTTATAAAGAAATCATTGAATTTATTGACAATATTCTTCAGATCAAAGTTTTCAGTGTCATTATCTATAAAATAGTCAGGATATGAGTTGGTAGTGTAATTGTCTCTTAACAATTTATTCAGTATACTCCAGATTCCTTTAATATTGCTTTTGTTTTCATTTAGTTTATTTTCGTAGTATAATTTCTTGCCATTTCGTACAATGGTTGTTAGTTTGTTCTTGTATACTTTATACCGTTCCTCAGATTGTTGTGTTCTTTGGTTCATATATTGTTTATACAAGTAGTTTTTCTTTTTACATGCATTAAGTAGTCCTTGTGTTAGCCATGGACACTTTGGTATTCTTTTCTCTTTTTTATATTGACGCGTAGGGCAGTGTTTGTTATATAAGGAACAAAATATTTCCAGGTATGAATTGTAGGCTCTGTTCGCATCATTCTCCACCAGCACATTGGTCCAATCCTGGTTAGCTAGATCATAGTTAAGAGCATTAATAGACTTCTCTGTTAGTACCCTTTTATATATATTTTTTGGAGATTCACAGATTTGTTCATAATTGTCATTGAACAATGCAAATATAGGAAGATGATCAGTTATGTCAGATATCATGAGACCGCTAACTTTGGTTTGTTCCATAGCGTTTGTAAAGATATTGTCAATGAGTGTAGCACTATGCGAGGTAATTCTACTAGGTCTGGAGATAGATGGGAAGAGGCTCATACTATACATAGCATTTACAAATTCATCAGTAGCATGATGGTTGGTTGGATTCATCAGATCAGCCATTCCCAAACTCAGTAACACCGAGGCCCCCTTAAAAATCTGACGGGTCTGCGTGGCCCCCCAAAATAAAAACCAAGAAGACAACATTAAGAATAGGCTCTTCTGGTTATTTTATTTTGGGGAAATAGCCTCTGCTACAAACATTGTAATACAAAAATGATTACAGTGGCTTATTCAAGTCAAATAATGAACACAAATATTTTAATATTACAAACAAAACATTATAAATTTAACATTAAATAATTATATTATTTTTTTATTTTTTTTATGACCTCCCGCGGCCCCCCTGCAGTACCCACGCGGCCCACCAGGGGGCCGCGGACCCCACTTTGGGAGACACTGCATCAGATCAATATTATAATCTCCACAAATAAATAATGTCTTATTTACAGTAGAGAATGTTCTCTCCATCCATTCCGTAAATAAATCAATGCTTGACCCCGGTGATCGATAAATACAACTAATTATAATATTTTTTTTCCTTTCACAGTTTATTTCAATTGTAACACATTCCAGTAGGTTATCAACTGATACTGACATTTTTTCAATCATTTTAAATTGTATTTGATTGCTTACATAAATAGCCACCCCGCCACCAGCTTTATTTTTTCTGTTCACATAACATATATGTGTAGTTTGCATGTTCTTCTTGTGTCTGTCACATCTGGACATCTGGAGCCTGTTACCACGACGATCACTGCTCCAATCAGAAGCCGGAGTCAGGATGGGTCAAATCCTAACAATAATCTCAGGTTCCATCCGTCGTCTGGAACTGGCACCACTGCAAACCTACCAAGACGTGGCTGTCCACCCAAACTCACAGCACCGAGATGCCCACACGAGGCCTGTGGTTACTCTGGAGGAGGTTCAGACACACCACAAAAACACTGTATAATGACTGTTTTAGTGTGAAACTGTAGCTGAGGACCTCTTCTAACACCTCCCTCTGAACTGAGGAGCAAAAGAGAACTGAGGAGCAGAGGAGAACTGAGGAGCAGGAGAACTGAGGAGGAGGAGAACTGAGGAGCAGAGGAGAACTGAGGAGCAGGAGAACTGAGGAGCAGAGGAGAACTGAGGAGCAGAGGAGAACTGAGGAGGAGGAGAACTGAGGAGCAGAGGAGAACTGAGGAGCAGGAGAACTGAGGAGCAGAGGAGAACTGAGGAGCAGAGGAGAACTGAGGAGGAGGAGAACTGAGGAGCAGGAGAACTGAGGAGCAGAGGAGAACTGAGGAGCAGAGGAGAACTGAGGAGCAGAGGAGAACTGAGGAGCAGAGGAGAACTGAGGAGCAGAGGAGAACTGAGGAGCAGAGAAGAACTGAGGAGCAGAGAAGAACGGAGGAGCAGAGGAGAACTGAGGAGCAGAGGAGAACTGAGGAGCAGAGGAGAACGGAGGAGCAGAGGAGAACTGAGGAGCAGAGGAGAACTGAGGAGCAGAGGAGAACGGAGGAGCAGAGGAGAACTGAGGAGCAGAGGAGAACTGAGGAGCAGGAGAACTGAGGAGCAGAGGAGAACTGAGGAGCAGAGGAGAACTGAGGAGCAGAGGAGAACTGAGGAGCAGAGGAGAACTGAGGAGCAGAGGAGAACTGAGGAGCAGAGGAGAACTGAGGAGCAGAGGAGAACTGAGGAGCAGAGAGAACTGAGGAGCAGAGAAGAACGGAGGAGCAGAGGAGAACTGAGGAGCAGAGGAGAACTGAGGAGCAGAGGAGAACTGAGGAGCAGAGGAGAACTGAGGAGCAGAGAAGAACTGAGGAGCAGAGAGAACTGAGGAGCAGAGGAGAACTGAGGAGCAGAGGAGAACTGAGGAGCAGAGGAGAACTGAGGAGCAGAGGAGAACTGAGGAGCAGAGGAGAACTGAGGAGCAGAGGAGAACTGAGGAGGCAGAGGAGAACTGAGGAGCAGGAGAACTGAGGAGCAGGAGAACTGAGGAGCAGAGGAGAACTGAGGAGCAGAGGAGAACTGAGGAGCAGAGGAGAACTGAGGAGCAGAGGAGAACTGAGGAGCAGAGGAGAACTGAGGAGCAGAGGAGAACTGAGGAGCAGAGGAGAACTGAGGAGCAGGAGAACTGAGGAGCAGAGGAGAACTGAGGAGCAGAGGAGAACTGAGGAGCAGAGGAGAACTGAGGAGCAGAGGAGAACTGAGGAGCAGAGGAGAACTGAGGAGCAGGAGAACTGAGGAGCAGAGAACTGAGGAGCAGAGGAGAACTGAGGAGCAGGAGAACTGAGGAGCAGGAGAACTGAGGAGCAGAGGAGAACTGAGGAGCAGAGGAGAACTGAGGAGCAGAGGAGAACTGAGGAGCAGAGGAGAACTGAGGAGCAGGAGAACTGAGGAGCAGAGGAGAACTGAGGAGCAGGAGAACTGAGAGCAGAGGAGAACTGAGGAGCAGAGGAGAACTGAGGAGCAGGAGAACTGAGGAGCAGAGGAGAACTGAGGAGCAGAGGAGAACTGAGGAGCAGGAGAACTGAGGAGCAGAGGAGAACTGAGGAGCAGGAGAACTGAGGAGCAGAGGAGAACTGAGGAGGAGGAAGAACTGAGGAGCAGGAGAACTGAGGAGCAGGAGAACTGAGGAGCAGGAGAACTGAGGAGCAGGAGAACTGAGGAGCAGAGAAGAACTGAGGAGCAGGAGAACTGAGGAGCAGAGGAGAACTGAGGAGCAGAGGAGAACTGAGGAGCAGAGGAGAACTGAGGAGCAGGAGAACTGAGGAGCAGAGGAGAACTGAGGAGCAGGAGAACTGAGGAGCAGGAGAACTGAGGAGCAGGAGAACTGAGGAGCAGGAGAACTGAGGAGCAGAGGAGAACTGAGGAGCAGAGGAGAACTGAGGAGAGGAGAACTGAGGAGCAGAGGAGAACTGAGGAGCAGAGGAGAACTGAGGAGCAGAGGAGAACTGAGGAGCAGAGGAGAACTGAGGAGCAGGAGAACTGAGGAGCAGGAGAACTGAGGAGCAGGAGAACTGAGGAGCAGAGGAGAACTGAGGAGCAGGAGAACTGAGGAGCAGAGGAGAACTGAGGAGCAAGGAGAACTGAGGAGGAGAACTGAGGAGCAGAGGAGAACTGAGGAGCAGAGGAGAACTGAGGAGAAGACTGAGAGCAGAGGAGAACTGAGGAGCAGGAGAACGGAGGAGCAGGAGAACGGAGGAGCAGGAGAACTGAGGAGCAGGAGAACTGAGGAGCAGAGGAGAACTGAGGAGCAGGAGAAACTGAGGAGCAGAGGAGAACTGAGGAGCAGGAGAACTGAGGAGCAGGAGAACTGAGGAGCAGAGGAGAACTGAGGAGCAGGAGAACTGAGGAGCAGGAGAACTGAGGAGCAGGAGAACTGAGGAACGGGAGAACTGAGGAGCAGAGGAGAACTGAGGAGCAGGAGAACTGAGGAGCAGAGGAGAACTGAGGAGCAGGAGAACTGAGGAGCAGGAGAACTGAGGAGCAGAGGAGAACTGAGGAGCAGAGGAGAACTGAGGAGCAGAGGAGAACTGAAGAGGAGGAGAACTGAGGAGCAGGAGAACTGAGGAGCAGAGGAGAACTGAAGAGGAGGAGAACTGAGGAGCAGGAGAACTGAGGAGCAGAGGAGAACTGAGGAGCAGAGGAGAACTGAGGAGCAGAGGAGAACGGAGGAGCAGGAGAACTGAGGAGCAGAGGAGAACTGAGGAGCAGGAGAACTGAGGAGCAGAGGAGAACTGAGGAGCAGAGGAGAACTGAGGAGCAGAGGAGAACTGAGGAGCAGGAGAACTGAGGAGCAGAGGAGAACTGAGGAGAACTGAGGAGCAGAGGAGAACTGAGGAGCAGAGGAGAACTGAGGAGCAGAGGAGAACTGAGGAGCAGGAGAACTGAGGAGCAGGAGAACTGAGGAGCAGAGGAGAACTGAGGAGTAGGAGAACTGAGGACAGGAGAACTGAGGAGCAGAGGAGAACTGAGGAGCAGAGGAGAACTGAGGAGCAGGAGAACTGAGGAGCAGGAGAACTGAGGGGCAGAGGAGAACTGAGGAGCAGAGGAGAACTGAGGAGCAGGAGAACTGAGGAGCAGGAGAACTGAGGAGCAGAGGAGAACTGAGGAGCAGGAGAACTGAGGAGCAGGAGAACTGAGGAGCAGAGGAGAACTGAGGAGCAGAGGAGAACTGAGGAGCAGAGGAGAACTGAGGAGCAGGAGAACTGAGGAGCAGGAGAACTGAGGAGCAGGAGAACTGAGGAGCAGAGGAGAACTGAGGAGCAGGAGAACTGAGGAGCAGGAGAACTGAGGAGCAGAGGAGAACTGAGGAGCAGGAGAACTGAGGAGCAGAGGAGAACTGAGGAGCAGGAGAACTGAGGAGCAGAGGAGAACTGAGGAGCAGAGGAGAACTGAGGAGCAGAGGAGAACTGAAGAGCAGAGGAGAACTGAGGAGCAGGAGAACTGAGGAGCAGAGGAGAACTGAGGAGCAGAGGAGAACTGAGGAGCAGAGGAGAACTGAGGAGCAGGAGAACTGAGGAGCAGGAGAACTGAGGAGCAGAGGAGAACTGAGGACCAGAGGAGAACTGAGGAGCAAGAGAACTGAGGAGCAGAGGAGAACTGAGGAGCAGAGGAGAACTGAGGAGCAGGAGAACTGATGAGCAGGAGAACTGAGGAGCAGAGCAGAACTGAGGAGCAGGAGAACTGAGGAGCAGGAGAACTGAGGAGCAGGAGAACTGAGGAGCAGAGGAGAACTGAGGAGCAGAGGAGAACTGAGGAGCAGGAGAACTGAGGAGCAGGAGAACTGAGGAGCAAGAGAACTGAGGAGCAGAGGAGAACTGAGGAGCAGAGGAGAACTGAGGAGCAGGAGAACTGAGGAGCAGAGGAGAACTGAGGAGCAGAGGAGAACTGAGGAGCAGGAGAACTGAGGAGCAGAGGAGAACGGAGGAGCAGGAGAACTGAGGAGCAGGAGAACTGAGGAGCAGAGGAGAACTGAGGAGCAGAGGAGAACTGAGGAGCAGGAGAACTGAGGAGCAGAGGAGACGACACCAGAGGAGAGAGTAGGTCAGAGTCTCGTGGCCTCGCTCTGGTCTCCTCGTGGCTCGCTCTGGTCTCCTTGTGGCTCGCTCTGGTCTCCTCGTGGCTCACTCTGGTCTCCTTGTGGCTCGCTCTGGTCTCCTTGTGGCTCGCTCTGGTCTCCTCGTTGCTCACTCTGGTCTCCTTGTGGCTCACTCTGGTCTCCTTGTGGCTCGCTCTGGTCTCCTTGTGACTCGCTCTGGTCTCCTCGTGGCTTGCTCTGGTCTCCTCGTGGCTTGCTCTGGTCTCCTTGTGGCTCGCTCTGGTCTCCTCGTGGCTTGCTCTGGTCTCCTCGTGGCTCGCTCTGGTCTCCTTGTGGCTCGCTCTGGTCTCCTTGTGGCTCGCTCTGGTCTCCTTGTGGCTCACTCTGGTCTCCTTGTGGCTCGCTCTGGTCTCCTTGTGGCTCGCTCTGGTCTCCTCGTGGCTCACTCTGGTCTCCTTGTGGCTCACTCTGGTCTCCTTGTGGCTCACTCTGGTCTCCTTGTGGCTCGCTTTGGTCTCCTTGTGGCTCGCTCTGGTCTCCTTGTGGCTCGCTCTGGTCTCCTCATGGCTTGCTCTGGTCTCCTTTTGGCTCGCTCTGGTCTCCTTGTGGCTCGCTCTGGTCTCCTCGTGGCTTGCTCTGGTCTCCTCGTGGCTTGCTCTGGTCTCCTTGTGGCTCGCTCTGGTCTCCTCGTGGCTTGCTCTGGTCTCCTCGTGGCTCGCTCTGGTCTCCTTGTGGCTCGCTCTGGTCTCCTTGTGGCTCGCTCTGGTCTCCTCGTGGCTCGCTCTGGTCTCCTTGTGGCTCACTCTGGTCTCCTTGTGGCTCGCTCTAGTCTCCTTGTGGCTCGCTCTGGTCTCCTTGTGGCTCGCTCTGGTCTCCTTGTGGCTCGCTCTGGTCTCCTTGTGGCTCACTCTGGTCTCCTCGTGGCTCGCTCTGGTCTCCTTGTGGCTCACTCTGGTCTCCTTGTGGCTCGCTCTGGTCTCCTCGTGGCTCGCTCTGGTCTCCTTTTGGCTCGCTCTGGTCTCCTCGTGGCTCACTCTGGTCTCCTCGTGGCTTGCTCTGGTCTCCTCAGTCTGTGGAGAAGGCAAGTTTATTTGTATAGCACACTTTGTACACAAGGCAACTCAAAAGAAGAAAGTATTAAAATAATCACAGAACATTAAAAAGAAAGATAGTCCTGTGGTCTCTGTGAGGACCACCCAGTCCTCTGGTCTCTGTGAGGACCACCCAGTCCTCTGGTCTCTGTGAGGACCACCCAGTCCTGTGGTCTCTGTGAGGACAACCCAGTCCTCTGGTCTCTGTGAGGACCACCCAGTCCTCTGGTCTCTGTGAGGACCACCCAGTCCTCTGGTCTCTGTGAGGACCACCCAGTCCTCTGGTCTCTGTGAGGACCACCCAGTCCTCTGGTCTCTGTGAGGTCCACCCAGTCCTCTGGTCTCTGTGAGGACCACCCAGTCCTCTGGTCTCTGTGAGGACCACCCAGTCCTGTGGTCTCTGTGAGGACAACCCAGTCCTCTGGTCTCTGTGAGGACCACCCAGTCCTGTGGTCTCTGTGAGGACCACCCAGTCCTCTGGTCTCTGTGAGGACCACCCAGTCCTCTGGTCTCTGTGAGGACCACCCAGTCCTCTGGTCTCTGTGAGGACCACCCAGTCCTCTGGTCTCTGTGAGGACCACCCAGTCCTGTGGTCTCTGTGAGGACCACCCAGTCCTCTGGTCTCTGTGAGGACCACCCAGTCCTCTGGTCTCTGTGAGGACCACCCAGTCCTCTGGTCTCTGTGAGGACCACCCAGTCCTGTGGTCTCTGTGAGGACCATCCAGTCCTGTGGTCTCTGTGAGGACCACCCAGTCCTCTGGTCTCTGTGAGGACCACCCAGTCCTCTGGTCTCTGTGAGGACCACCCAGTCCTGTGGTCTCTGTGAGGACCACCCAGTCCTCTGGTCTCTGTGAGGACCACCCAGTCCTCTGGTCTCTGTGAGGTGGGGGCTAAAGCCAGACTGGAAAATATCAAATGAGTTGTTGATTATAAAAAATCTAGTACTAGTAACTTTTTCAAGGACTTTCCCCAAAAATGGCAGATTTGAGATGGACGATGGTTTAGTACAGTGGGATCCAGATGGAGCCAGAGGAGGTGAGAAAGTGTCTTCGTGTTGTTGAAATACGTGTCTTTGTGTTGTTGAAATACGTGTCTTCGTGTTGTTGAAATACGTGTCTTCGTGTTGTTGAAATACGTGTCTTCGTTTTGTTGAAATACGTGTCTTCGTGTTGTTGAAATACGTGTCTTCGTGTTGTTGAAATACGTGTCTTCGTTTTGTTGAAATACGTGTCTTCGTGTTGTTGAAATACATGTCTTCATGTTGTTGAAATACGTGTCTTCGTGTTGTTGAAATACGTGTCTTCGTGTTGTTGAAATACGTGTCTTCATGTTGTTGAAATACGTGTCTTTGTGTTGTTGAAATACGTGTCTTTGTGTTGTTGAAATACGTGTCTTTGTGTTGTTGAAATACGTGTCTTTGTGTTGTTGAAATACGTGTCTTCGTGTTGTTGAAATACGTGTCTTCGTGTTGTTGAAATACGTGTCTTCGTTTTGTTGAAATACGTGTCTTCGTGTTGTTGAAATACATGTCTTCATGTTGTTGAAATACGTGTCTTCGTGTTGTTGAAATACGTGTCTTCGTGTTGTTGAAATACGTGTCTTCATGTTGTTGAAATACGTGTCTTTGTGTTGTTGAAATACGTGTCTTCGTGTTGTTGAAATACATGTCTTCATGTTGTTGAAATACGTGTCTTTGTGTTGTTGAAATACGTGTCTTTGTGTTGTTGAAATACGTGTCTTTGTGTTGTTGAAATACGTGTCTTTGTGTTGTTGAAATACGTGTCTTTGTGTTGTTGAAATACGTGTCTTCGTGTTGTTGAAATACGTGTCTTCGTGTTGTTGAAATACGTGTCTTCGTTTTGTTGAAATACGTGTCTTCGTGTTGTTGAAATACATGTCTTCATGTTGTTGAAATACGTGTCTTCATGTTGTTGAAATACGTGTCTTTGTGTTGTTGAAATACGTGTCTTCGTGTTGTTGAAATACATGTCTTCATGTTGTTGAAATACTTGTCTTCATGTTGTTGAAATACGTGTCTTTGTGTTGTTGAAATACGTGTCTTCATGTTGTTGAAATACGTGTCTTCATGTTGTTGAAATACGTGTCTTCATGTTGTTGAAATACGTGTCTTTGTGTTGTTGAAATACGTGTCTTCATGTTGTTGAAATACGTGTCTTCATGTTGTTGAAATACATGTCTTCGTGTTGTTGAAATACGTGTCTTCATGTTGTTGAAATACGTGTCTTTGTGTTGTTGAAATACGTGTCTTCGTGTTGTTGAAATACATGTCTTCATGTTGTTGAAATACGTGTCTTCATGTTGTTGAAATACGTGTCTTTGTGTTGTTGAAATACGTGTCTTCGTGTTGTTGAAATACGTGTCTTCATGTTGTTGAAATACGTGTCTTCGTGTTGTTGAAATACGTGTCTTCATGTTGTTGAAATACGTGTCTTCGTGTTGTTGAAATACGTGTCTTCGTGTTGTTGAAATACGTGTCTTCATGTTGTTGAAATACGTGTCTTCATGTTGACCTAAAAGCCGCCGCCTCCTGTTACTTCTGCTTGAGTACTTTGGTTTAATGAGAGTATTTTTGACGCTCTCTCCCAGACGCTCATGACGCAGCACTGAGCCTGAGGCTCCGGAGCCTCCAGTCTCTGCTTCAGTCTCTGCTTCAGTCTCTGCCTCAGTCTCTGCTTCAGTCTCTGCTTCAGTCTCTGCCTCTGTCTCTGCTTCAGTCTCTGCCTCAGTCTCTGTTTCAGTCTCTGCTTCAGTCTCTGCCTCAGTCTCTGCCTCAGTCTCTGCTTCAGTCTCTGCTTCAGTCTCTGCTTCAGTCTCTGCCTCAGTCTCTGCTTCAGTCTCTGCTTCAGTCTCTGCCTCAGTCTCTGCTTCAGTCTCTGCCTCAGTCTCTGCTTCAGTCTCTGCTTCAGTCTCTGCCTCAGTCTCTGCTTCAGTCTCTGCTTCAGTCTCTGCTTCAGTCTCTGCTTCAGTCTCTGCTTCAGTCTCTGCTTCAGTCTCTGCTTCAGTCTCTGCTTCAGTCTCTGCTTCAGTCTCTGCTTCAGTCTCTGCCTCAGTCTCTGCTTCAGTCTCTGCCTCAGTCTCTGCTTCAGTCTCTGCCTCAGTCTCTGCTTCAGTCTCTGCTTCAGTCTCTGCTTCAGTCTCTGCTTCAGTCTCTGCTTCAGTCTCTGCCTCAGTCTCTGCTTCAGTCTCTGCTTCAGTCTCTGCTTCAGTCTCTGCTTCAGTCTCTACCTCAGTCTCTGCTTCAGTCTCTGCTTCAGTCTCTGCTTCAGTCTCTGCTTCAGTCTCTGCTTCAGTCTCTGCCTCAGTCTCTGCTTCAGTCTCTGCTTCAGTCTCTGCTTCAGTCTCTGCTTCAGTCTCTACCTCAGTCTCTGCTTCAGTCTCTGCCTCAGTCTCTGCTTCAGTCTCTGCCTCAGTCTCTGCTTCAGTCTCTGCTTCAGTCTCTGCTTCAGTCTCTGCCTCAGTCTCTGCTTCAGTCTCTGCCTCAGTCTCTGCTTCAGTCTCTGCCACAGTCTCTGCCTCAGTCTCTGCTTCAGTCTCTGCTTCAGTCTCTGCTTCAGTCTCTGCTTCAGTCTCTGCTTCAGTCTCTGCTTCAGTCTCTGCTTCAGTCTCTGCCTCAGTCTCTGCTTCAGTCTCTGCTTCAGTCTCTGCCTCAGTCTCTGCTTCAGTCTCTGCTTCAGTCTCTGCTTCAGTCTCTGCTTCAGTCTCTGCTTCAGTCTCTGCTTCAGTCTCTGCCTCAGTCTCTGCTTCAGTCTCTGCTTCAGTCTCTGCTTCAGTCTCTGCTTCAGTCTCTGCTTCAGACTCTGCCTCAGTCTCTGCCCCAGTCTCTGCTTCAGTCTCTGCTTCAGTCTCTGCTTCAGTCTCTGCCTCAGTCTCTGCCTCAGTCTCTGCTTCAGTCTCTGCTTCAGTCTCTGCTTCAGTCTCTGCTTCAGTCTCTGCTTCAGTCTCTGCTTCAGTCTCTGCCTCAGTCTCTGCTTCAGTCTCTGCTTCAGTCTCTGCCTCAGTCTCTGCTTCAGTCTCTGCTTCAGTCTCTGCCTCAGTCTCTGCTTCAGTCTCTGCTTCAGACTCTGCCTCAGTCTCTGCCTCAGTCTCTGTTTCAGTCTCTGCTTCAGTCTCTGCCTCAGTCTCTGCTTCAGTCTCTGCCTCAGTCTCTGCTTCAGTCTCTGCTTCAGTCTCTGCTTCAGTCTCTGCCTCAGTCTCTGCTTCAGTCTCTGCTTCAGTCTCTGCCTCAGTCTCTGCCTCAGTCTCTGTTTCAGTCTCTGCTTCAGTCTCTGCTTCAGTCTCTGCTTCAGTCTCTGCCTCAGTCTCTGCTTCAGTCTCTGCTTCAGTCTCTGCTTCAGTCTCTGCCTCAGTCTCTGCTTCAGTCTCTGCTTCAGTCTCTGCTTCAGTCTCTGCCTCAGTCTCTGCTTCAGTCTCTGCTTCAGTCTCTGCTTCAGTCTCTGCTTCAGTCTCTGCCTCAGTCTCTGCCTCAGTCTCTGCTTCAGTCTCTGCTTCAGTCTCTGCCTCAGTCTCTGCTTCAGTCTCTGCTTCAGTCTCTGCCTCAGTCTCTGCTTCAGTCTCTGCTTCAGTCTCTGCTTCAGTCTCTGCCTCAGTCTCTGCTTCAGTCTCTGCCTCAGTCTCTGCTTCAGTCTCTGCCTCAGTCTCTGCCTCAGTCTCCGCCTCAGTCTCTGCTTCAGTCTCTGCTTCAGTCTCTGCTTCAGTCTCTGCTTCAGTCTCTGCTTCAGTCTCTGCCTCAGTCTCTGCTTCAGTCTCTGCCTCAGTCTCTGCCTCAGTCTCTGCTTCAGTCTCTGCTTCAGTCTCTGCTTCAGTCTCTGCTTCAGTCTCTGTCTCAGTCTCTGCTTCAGTCTCTGCTTCAGTCTCTGCTTCAGTCTCTGCTTCAGTCTCTGCTTCAGTCTCTGCTTCATTCTCTGCCTCAGTCTCTGTTTCAGTCTCTGCTTCAGTCTCTGCCTCAGTCTCTGCTTCAGTCTCTGCTTCAGTCTCTGCTTCAGTCTCTGCTTCATTCTCTGCCTCAGTCTCTGTTTCAGTCTCTGCTTCAGTCTCTGCTTCAGTCTCTGCTTCAGTCTCTGCTTCAGTCTCTGCTTCAGTCTCTGCTTCAGTCTCTGCTTCAGTCTCTGTTTCAGTCTCTGCTTCAGTCTCTGCTTCAGTCTCTGTTTCAGTCTCTGCTTCAGTCTCTGCTTCAGTCTCTGCTTCAGTCTCTGCCTCAGTCTCTGCTTCAGTCTCTGCTTCAGTCTCTGCTTCAGTCTCTGCCTCAGTCTCTGCTTCAGTCTCTGCTTCAGTCTCTGCCTCAGTCTCTGCTTCAGTCTCTGCTTCAGTCTCTGCCTCAGTCTCTGCTTCAGTCTCTGCTTCAGTCTCTGCTTCAGTCTCTGCTTCAGTCTCTGCTTCAGTCTCTGCCTCAGTCTCTGCTTCAGTCTCTGCTTCAGTCTCTGCTTCAGTCTCTGCTTCAGTCTCTGCCTCAGTCTCTGCTTCAGTCTCTGCCTCAGTCTCTGCCTCAGTCTCTGCTTCAGTCTCTGCTCCAGCCTCTGCTTCAGTGTCTGCTTCAGTCTCTGTCTCAGTCTCTGCTTCAGTCTCTGCCTCAGTCTCTGCCTCAGTCTCTGCTTTAGTCTCTGCTTCAGTCTCTGCTTCAGTCTCTGCTTCATTCTCTGCCTCAGTCTCTGCTTCAGTCTCTGCTTCAGTCTCTGCTTCAGTCTCTGCCTCAGTCTCTGCCTC